TTCCGATCCCATCTTCACCCAACACCTCACTCTTCCACATTTATCGCCGATCCTTTCTCAATTTATTGCCACAAAGTCTAGTTTTCTCTTCCAAATACCGCCTCTCGAGCTCTCCTTTACCCGAACCTTCTTTTCATAGAAGGTGCACTGTGTTAAGGGCACCTTAAAGAAAGCGGTCGCGATAAATTCCATGGGAATGAATGGGAATGCTGCATAAAGGTTTGGGTAGGAGAGGACAGCCAGCTTTTCACTTGGCAGTGACACCTTATCGGGGTGCGTTGCAGTTCTCCTCCTCAGGTCAGGTCACCTAAAATTGAGACACCACTCATTTGCTCGAAGCAAGCTTAGGACTAAGCCTAGGCCCAATCATAGGCTTAAGCATAAGCCAATGTGTAAGCATAAGCCTAAGCCTAAACCCAAACCCCGCGACAATTGAAGCCTAAGCTTAACCTTAGGCTTCAAATGTCGCGCAGCTCTGGTGACCTGGCCTCAGAAGGGGAACTGAACATCTCTCCTTATCAATGGTTTGACAGGAAGCATGAAAAGAGCTTCTTTAGACGTGGAAGGGTTACAACGGATGCGTGGTGGACTGCAAAACCTATCGTGAGCGCTTGATGTTCATTTCCCTGGTACCTTTGATATCGACCAGCCTAGCCTTGACGAGCCTTAACTCCTCCAGACAATCTCCATCTCTGCTCTTATCTCGACCGCTCCGTCAATGACATTTGGAACTCTTCTCCACCTCTAAGCCAGCCCGATCGCTTCCTTTGACTATTGCAGAATTATTATATTTTGGTAACCAAAGCCGATCGTAGCCCTTCTATTAGATCAGGATTTTTCATTTCGCACGGACTAAACTGTCTCCAATTAAAATCGCAGAGTTTCGGCCAAGTTCCAAAGTTTTAGACTAGGCCAATACATGCAAGGTAAACAGATCTTTAGATGTGCGTGTCAGAAAAATCCGATTAAAATCCTTCAAGCCTTCATAAAAATCACCGACACACCGTGTAACAAGCGTGCATAATACGTACTTCCGTTTTTTTCATTGTTAAGTAGAATTATGCAATATCGTGCTGAAATGTAGCCAGATTTCATAGAAAGCGTGCAAGTAAGTAAACAATTCAAATTTAAAGGCAGCGATTACGATAAAGAGGGAGCGCATCGGGGAAGCATATGCACACGAAGCAGTTACTTGGCTGCCAGGGAAGCGAGGTGTGGCGCTTTCACGACGAAAGGTGCGCTGGTTGCTGAGCAGGACTTCGAAAGCACTCCGCCCCAAAAGCGATCCGCCCACTAGTTTACTTGGTGATTTGGACGAGCTGCGTTGCCAGCAGCGGCACAACTGGAGCAACTCGATGGAGCGTGGTTTGGCATGGCTCACCAAACGCGTTGCGTGAACTCGTTCATACGTCCGTTTTCTGAGCTGTTACCTGTTCATGAGTGAAAACCAACGGCCAAAAAAGGGGGTCCCGTTTTGCGTTTTTAACGGTTTTCTCCGTTTTTCAGCCACTGGCGTACCAATGAGCACCACCAGTCTCCTAGGAACCCTTCTTGAATCTATCGTAATCACTGCCTTTGAGTAGAGCCATATTGCCGTATACCTCGCATTACATTGTGGCGATTATGGATTTTCTCATTCATTGCCTTTCGTGTCCCTGCTCTTCTTTTACTACGAGAAACTACGAGAATGCCTTCCACAGTACAAGAAACCAGAAGAGTCAATATGACTGGCTCTGTAAGATGTAGGTTCACGTGAGCCGATTTTAGGAAAAAAGAAGCAGAAAGAATTACATGTGACTTGTTTTGAGTTGTCTAGAAGGAAGGATCTTTCAGCTACATATGTAAAATCTATAAATTATTAGAGAAGCTCCTCAGGTTCTTCCATCCTTCCCCCCTAATTTGGAGCAATGTCTGCGAAACCTCCTCTTCCCTTGGAGACTCGAAGTGATCCGTGCTAACCAGATCTTTTTTCTGACGGCTAGTGGGCACCACAGTTGCTTGGACAAAAAAGCTGGCTTGAATAGTTCCTGGATCTGACCATCTCTGACGGATGTCGTATACGTGGCGCATCCCACATCAATCAATCAATGTCAACCACTTTATCGTTTATCATTAACCTCTCCAGTGCTGGCCGTTTACGGCACCCGGAAGTAGCAGTCTGTGAAATCGTTTTCAAGGTCAACTACGTCACATTAGGTCATGCCTTGTGTAAGTGCGTAACGTGGTCACAGAATATCCCAGCACTTTTTTGCTAGATATTTTTGATATTTCATCTTTTCGTCTTTGAACTCCCAGGAACCTTCGCTGCCTTGTATGCTGCTTTTTTCGCATCGATCTGGATTCCATTTGTTTACGTTTTTTCGGAGTTCCGACTCTGAAACATATTCTGCATTTCATAGCTATGGAACACACTGCTGTCGCATCGATTCAGCTGCATTTTTTTCACTGAGGGGTTCATTGCTGCTTTTTAGCCGCTATTTCAATCTATCTATAGTACAGACGGATTCGATGCCGGTTTTCCAACTATTAGACAACCGCTTATGCCTTACCCACCTTGAAGTAGAGTATTGGTATTGAACCCCTTTCCCACCTAGATAACGAATCATTGCTCTCTTTAGGCTTCACGAATCCCCACCTTTGAAGTAACCTCTAATTACAATCTTAGATATTTTTAAGCGCTATCGCAATATACGGGAGCATCCTTTAGGAACAAGCCAGAAGGGCAGGAATTCCGGGGAGAATGAAAATGGCTGACGCACCCTGAAGTATTTCCTCCCCTGCCTGAGGACTTGGTCCCCTTTTCAACAAAAAGAACATGTTTCAAGCTATTTCGGATGCATTGCCACCACATACACCTGTATCTTGCGATAGCGCCTATTTCCTGTTTTGACATCGACACCTTATAGAGCAAGAGCATTTCTACCTCTCTGAGGTCATTTCGTCACTTTTGAGTATCCGTTTGAGGCCTTATTCGTTCCGTGCCTTCCCTCATCTTTCTTGTGAAGGATTTGTAAACTTCTTAGAAGTAATCTTTCATGGTGTTCAAGTTGTTTGGAAACGTGTTTGTTTCAAGTTTTTGGAAAAAAGAGTAGTCGTAACAAAAAGCCCAAAAGCCCATGATCGGCTGTTTTTTCGTGGTTTTTTTCACGTTTCTTTTTCACCAGCTTTTTTTTGTGGGTTCCTGTCGGGTTGAGGTGTTCTTTCTGCTTTTTATCACTCGCTTTTTTTTCTTTGGCAGCCTCATTTTTTTACCACGTCATAGATGATCTTAGATCCTTTCAACGATAAAGAAAACTTAAAGTTGCTAAGAAAAGCGGTAAGATTGGAGTAAGCCTTCAGAGAGAAGAGCTGCCTACAACCTGCCTTTCCCCTGTTGATCAACATGTTCCTCGGAAAGGCGCCATAGCGTCTCCATTCGTCCTGTGCTAGAGTGTCCAGTGGATCCTCCTCGCTCGAGGGACACGAAGTCCTTCATTCCTTTCGTTCAGAGCTTTCGTGAAGAAGTCTGACCATCGGGCCGGCGGTCGTCCAGGTGTTCGTTTGACGTCCCGAGGGATCCAGTCGGTAACCGCTCTGGTCCAACGGTCATCGCATGACGTGTCCGGCCCACCTTATCTTCGATTCCTTGGCGAAAACGGCAGCGTCCCTGATCTTCGATCGTTGGCGTAGTTAAGTACTCCGGCTTCCCATCTGCACTTACGTGCATTCAGCAATTCCAAGCATTGCAAAAAACACTGCGCATTAATTTTCACATAAACATTCGAGGCAGCCATCTGGTTTCTAACATCGACGTGCTGTGGGCAAGTTAGCGCACCTGTGCTCACACATTCCGTGATATATTCGTCTGCATTTCAGAACAAGAAATTTGCTGGCCAGTTGTTCATTCTGCAATTATAAAGAGGGCCGAAAAAGTAAACCGGTTTCTGGCCCATATCAGAAAACTCTACGCACAGGGTAATTAATTAGATGGAAGTCAAATGACAGTATATTCCTGAAGTTTTCGTCAACAAGCTGAAGCACGGCATTATGATGGTCCGAGGTCAACCGTCCGTCGGCTGCAGGGGGGGGGGGGCGGTTGTAGAATTTTTCGAAATCGGCTTAATGTCACGGTAGACCCTGCAGTCGTGGGTTTCACCTAAAGACGAAGTCATCCTCCATCGCCGACGATGAAAGAAAAGTGTGGCGAAATTGCTTCGGCTTGGAATATCCGCCTAACTTCCTCGATTGAGTCACTAGTGGATTGATTCCCAAAAGTCAGCATTTTTGACTGTTCAACAGCCCTTTCCTCTCCACGCTTGGTCTCTCATTGCCGTAGCATTTCGGCACCACACACCTTAGCCGATCATGAAAGTGAGTGTGCCCCAACAAACCCAAGCTTTTTCGACGGATTCTTCTCCTTTTTTCCTTACTGCTGTCCCATTTCGCACCAATGCATTCGCATTCGTGTGCAAGAACCATACCAATTTGATCCTGGCACATCCCTTTGAGTCAGCGAAAACAAAGTTCAAGTCGTAGGGACTCCGCTGTGTTCCTCCGTACTAGTTCTCAGGTTTGTCCGCCATTGTTCCGTATAAAAAACATTTTTTTAGTCACTGCTCTACGCACAATCGTTTCAAAGCGAGATCCTTCACCCGTTCGCAAGTGCGCTTATTCGAAAAGCGATTTTGATAAGTTTCATTTTGCATGTCCTGAAGTTTATTGTTGCTTTTTTCTTTATCACAGAATCTAGCCGATCAAAAGCTTCATAATAACATTAGCTCGTTATGATCTTACAATTGCAGCGGAAGCCCTTAGCTTCTCCGACTAATAATCTTACACTCAGACATTCCCCCTGATCCGTCAATGAACACCGTTTCATTTAGCTTGCGGAACAGACCAGTAAACATTCAAAGTGACGCCCCTTGTCAAGAGGCTTTCACGGCCCAGTTATGTAATTTAAGATTCCGATGATAACGAGTTAATAACTGCGTCAGCACAATTGAATCTCAGATTCCAGATTGATGTTGGTTTGTAGCTCATCACAAAATGAATTCAATTGTCTTTTGCATGCTAACGCTTGGTGCGAATTTCCGTGCACGGAATTGCCGACCTATGACTTGCTGCATCTAGAGATCTAGTCCTACAAACCGAAGTGAAATCTGTACACAGAATGTCTGCCTAGGTTTTTGCCTTGAGGGTGGCGAAGTTATCACAGCAGCCATAGGTCGTAATTGAAGACATATTTCAAGATCAGCCTCGTGTGCTGTTAGTTCAAATAAATTTGAATTTCAAAATTAATTTACAATCCACTAATCATTTTCCGAAGTAAACAGTTTGCTGGAATAACGCCACAAAAGAGAGTAATTGCGATTCCATCTATGGTCACCATAGTAAAAAAAAAACCTCCATCGTGTCGAGGTGTTGGTGCCTGTCTCTTGCTCAACTTCGCATTCTCTACCACTTTCAGTCGCTAAGCGCTGCAGCTTCTCTAGACTGTATGTATATCTACCTAAATTTCGCCCGCTCGAAAAATAAGGCTTAAATTATTTTCATTTTGGAGGGCGTTTTTTATTGCTTCTTTTTTCTGCAGGATTTCAAGGCGTTTTTCGTGAATTTTCTTGCAAGTTCAACGCACTGTCCCAATATCTGTTAATTCTAATTTTTCTAAGTTTTCATGTGAACGTCGCCCTCTTATTTTATCGTTGGATAAAGGGCGTCTGTCTCTCTGATGCACGCGAATCATGATATTTTTAGAAGACTTTTTGCTGCCCTTGCTTGCAACCCTGGTCTGATTTCCTTCTTCTCCACGTAGATGAAACTATCCCGAGTTGTAGAGCACGTCTGCTAATTTGGAGTCGGGTATTCTAGATAGCGGAACCGATGGGATGTCCGTCGTGTAGAGTAACATTCGACTTTCGACAACTGGCACATGTTTACGCTGTCTGCCTCTGCTTCGTGCAATAAACGCTGCTATGTATTGTGCCGTGCTTGCTTTGGTTCTCTGTCGCAAAATTTCGAGTCATGTTCACCTGAAGGATTGCACAGTTTCCATTCTCCATTTGTTTCAGAATGCACAACGTGGTGGGCCTTCTGGCCTCGCTGTTTGTTTCTCGATCAATGGGGATCTATTCACGTCCGTCGCTGATATGCAGGACTCCTCGATTCGGAAAAGTCCATTCCAGCGCTTCTCCACAAGTACATCGAAAGTGAGAGAAATCGGCTCAGATGAACTCAGAAAGTGCGAAAGTTGTTTTTTTTTCTTTGGAAGAACGTTCACAAGAACTTAGGTTGAATCCTCTTATGTTCAGATTAGCAGAAGTGTACAGTGAACGAAACGAGCAAGCACTCGAAACTGGCATCAAGGACATCTCAAACCCAATCAATGCTTTCTTACTGATAAAGCAGAAGGTATGTAGGTCTAGCGCTCGTATTTTTTGAGCACGAACTTGTCCAGGATAAGTGGTAACATTCCAGATCTTCGACTGGAAAGGAATCGAGCACAGAATGCTTCTGAACAAAGCTGGTTCATTCATCGAGCGTATTCAGGATGCCAACTATGGAATCCGTTATCCAACAGAGGTCAGCCAACTGTTTGACCTGTAGTAAGTTTCGTGCAACCGTTCAGGGCTTCGTTGAGAATTTATGTTATACTTAACGCATCTCGTTTGCATGCTTTGTCTGAAACTTCATCGGCAATGCTAGAGCAAGTGCCAGAAGTGACTAGGCTGATTTTTTTGAAACTACTTTTTTTAAAGTGGGTAGGTATAACTTCTGGATAGTTGAACAACCTAGTGGTAGCCCAATATGTGAGGTTTTGTAAATTAGTCACTGCGATATTGATTTATCTATCCAGTCCAACCTGCAGTTACGGAGACAAGTCAAGAAGCCTAAATAATAACTTGCTAACTTGCGCAAACGCTGCTACTGATTCATTCATGATTAATTGCAAACAAAAAATCCAACACTTACCTGCACTTAGGCTCATGTTCAAACTTTGCGAATCGCGCGATTCGTTATCGCCCGCGGTCGTGTTGCGGTGCCGCCAGCCAATTGAATGATCCATTGGCGAATCGCGCCGCAAAGTCTGACATCGGCCTTAAGCAATGTTTTCTCAAGCGCTCCGAATTCGCTTTCGTGGCATTCTTTTTTTTCTGTAAAGAAGCCTTCAATATTCCGGAAGGATCTGACTGGAGCAGCCATCGATTGCTAAGACTATCAGGAAAACTTATCGATTAGATACAAAAGACCTTGCCGATGGACGTATTTATAAAGACAAAGGAAATTATACGCGTTGATGGTCAGCCAGTGTACCGTTTTGAATTTCTTACTTATCAGACGTGAAAACGGCGCTCATATTCTTCGAGAGTAGGGGGGGGGGGTACATTCTAAGTCCTAGGGAGCATGTGAGCTATTTGTGTTCTCGCAAGCGTTTCTTCCCTTTGCTGGGCTTAGTCCTAGCCTCAGCTACTGTCGCCTCTGTTTTGAATGTCCCATATGAGAATGCGCCGCGAAACATGATAACATATCACTAACGCTATCGCTGAAAAGCGTCTGGTTACCCTTCGTGGGGTGTCACTTGTCAAACATATCATACTGTAGGTAAATTCTCACTCACGTGACCGAGAACTGCCCTCCGAATTCGCTTTTCCACAAATTTTCTGTTTTGCATCGGGCTCTACCTTCACTCAGCGCCCAACTCTTCACATTTCAAACTAGCCTTACCTGCTTAGAGCTATTGTTAATCGTGGGAGGTAATTAACGTCATCCAGAACTTGTCGCGTTCCAAGCTGACTTATACTTAAGTAACGCAAAAGCTGTGTCAATTATGTAGATAGAAAGGATTTTCCCGAATTCTGCTGATGACAATTTACAATATGCTTTTGATGAAGTCGCCTTTTCTCAGGTGAGAATCGCTTTTTAAAGTCTCCGTTTCAGCCGGAGATTGTTTCGAGGTCGGAAAAGCAGCATACCACGATGGCGATTACTATCATACAATCATGTGGATGGAAGAAGCGAAAAGACGTCTTGAAAAAGGAGGATGAGCCAACGGCGTCGTTGAGCGATGTACTTACATACTTCACAACGAGCTCTTGCACAGTACTTAATACACGGTTTAGATCCTCGAATATCTCTCATTCTCGCTTTATAAACAAGGAAATCTCAAACACGCACTGAAGTTTGTTGAGAGCTTTACAAAATTGGTATGTTACAACTATCCACCAAAATGCTCTTTTCTATGTTTTTGTTCGTTAACTTGCTGTTTTTGCCGCAGTTCGCCTTGCGATTGTCCCAGCTGCGCCATTGCTAAAGCTTTCAGCCTCGCGGTCATTGCCGATATCGGCTAACCGGCTCAACACGTTATACGTGTGAGTGCTGAAAGCTATGGTATGTATACCATGAAAAGCTGAGTTGGGATGAAATGGTGCCCCGGGGGGGTGGTGGGGGTAAGCGTACCTGGTAGCCGCACTTTGCGAACGCGAGAAGTGCGGGTTCTAGTCCGCCTGGGCGAAATTTGTTCACAACCCAGCATTCTTGTGAAACGCTCTTTTCTATCTTTTTGGGAGGAAGTAGAAGACGATCTCATAGGGTGACGGCGGGAGTTTCATTGACTACTGCTCATCAAGGTCCAGATCGAAGCCTTACTTGTGAAGCTTCTTGGATTTGGGAATGGTCTGAAATCAAAGTTCTTATGAGGTCCTCTGTTGGGGAAGGAGAAGAACTTTCTCATTTATGTGGTTGCTCTTATCCTTCTAGTCTAGTATGGCATCAGACAGCCACCTAGGATGGATGAAAAGGTGGTTTTGGATGGGCCAATTGGTCCAGGATTTGATCCACGGAGTATGCAGTGATTGTGGTCGTAGTCTATGTCGCGTATTAAACTTTGTTTCAGATCCAACTCATCCTAGAGCAAAAGGAAACATCAAATGGTACGAAGATCTGTTGGCTGAAGAGGGCGTGAGAAAATCAGAAATGAGAAGGTAAGCGTTACAGCTCATCAAAAACGACATGTCTAGAAACAAGTTCTCCCTTTTTTAGGTCCTTAGGGCCAATAAGAAACGAGCGACCGATCAGTGTACTCGGCAATGAAGAAAGAACGATCTATGAGGCTCTCTGTAGGAACGAAGTGCCCGTGGTTTGTGACTGTTCGGATCCTTTCTGAGAGAGCCGAATCTGCACTGCTCAACGGTCACACTGTTTCAGAGCCCAAAGGAGATCTCAAAACTCTATTGCTACTACAAACGAGACAGGCCATTCCTAGTGTACGCTCCGATTAAAGTGAGTTCGAATAATACTCTTACCCATGACTATCACTATGGTACTGTGACTGTCCTGTTCATCGATACCTTCACTCATTTGGAATCTCTAAAAGACGCGCTCCTGGATGCTTAGTGTATGAGTAGTCACGAAAGAAATTCGTTAAAATACCCCCCCCCCCCCAATTGGATGTGCCCTTCGTCCTTGAGAGCAACATAACGTGAAGTCGCACGTAACGCTCGAAAAATCGGCGTCAAATGTCCAAGATGGGTGTGACTTTTTTACGTGCACATGTTCAGGTTGAAATCAAGCGATTCAATCCGTTGGCGGTTCTGTTCAAGGAGGTGATCACCGATGACGAAATTGAGACGATTCAGGAGTTGGCCAAACCCAAGGTTCGTGGGTTCTCAGTTCGTACTTGATGTGTGACTAATGTGGGCGGTGTTCAGCTAGCCCGTGCCACTGTCCACGACGCCGCTTCGGGCACACTCGTCACTGCGACCTACAGAATCAGCAAGAGGTTTGTGATCTGTGCTCAGCCTTCATTCATGGTCCACATAGAGAATGAGGTGCTTTCAGCGCATGGTTAAAAGCATGGGAAGATGAGGTTGTGGAGCGAGTGAACAAACGTCTCGACCTGATGACTAACCTTGAAATGGAAACCGCTGAAGAACTACAGGTGAGATCGGTGCCCCTAGTCCTCTAAGACTCCTTTGCAAATTTTCCTGAGTTTTTCAATTCAGATTGCTAACTACGGTATTGGTGGCCACTACGACCCTCACTTCGATCACGCGAAAAAGGAGGAGACGAAGTCTTTTGAGTCCCTGGGTACCGGCAACAGAATCGCCACTGTGCTCATCTACGTGAGTTTTATTCCGAGCTATATCTAGCCGACCGCTTTGAAGAAAGAAAAACTGTTTGCGCTCACGTGACCTTATATAAAGCCGAAGAGAAATGTTCTGCGGGTGGAGTTTCCGGTGTTAATAGCGCTTTTGTGCCCCATTTGCCTGGAAACTTGCTGGTATTTTTCGCCAAAAATTTGTCAGCGGGCGGATTTTGAAAGCGAAGTCAGCCGTCCAACACGCGCTCCGCGCAGAAGAACAGGCGGCAGTTCATAACGGTTATGTTGCGCAGTTGAAGGGCAAAGGTTCGGGCTCACGACGCACTTAATCAAAGCCCTCCCGTATAATTGTTCTAGAATTGCACGCGTAAGACTGCAAGTTTAGAAGGCGCCAGGCCACTAAGAATCGGAAACGCTCATCCGCGCTCCCACTATCTCTGATCTCCCTGCAGGGCTTTTGAGAGTTTCCTAACATACACTGCGACGCATAATCTTAGTTCCACCTACAAATTTCCCAAAAACTAGAATTTGGAGATGTTTTTGAAAAGGGCTCTACAGACAAATTGTGACACATGCAAATGCGAATCTGAATATTATCACGGAAATCCAGTTTGAGAAAGCAAAAATTTTTTATCCTCATTTTTTCGAAAATACCCGACTTGCCTATGACGCAAAATCATAGTTCCACCACATGTTTCTCTGCTGCATTTTGCTTTTACCCAATCAAATTTTGAAATTATTCCCACTTATTACCCACTCAAGTCCCTTAGCTTATAGCAAAGGCAAAACCGCTGCCTGTCGAACTTCCGTAAAAGGAAAACCCTAGCAAAAGAGACGCAGGAGTTGTTGAAGTGTCAGCTCACGCTAGAATTTGTCGGGGTGGCTTCATAACGAACAAGTTTCTCAAGGATGCTACAGGATATGATTCTGGGAAGAACCCTGATTACTATCCGACCGAGATAAGCGCCGTATCGTGAGAAAATAATACGACTTTATCCAGACGGGTACGGAAATCAAAACTTCTTCAAAAGTTAGTGTCTCAATGGAAGCAGTTTCACGTGTTTTACAACACGCTCGTGACAGTCCATGTCTGGAGGATAAGAAATACGCTTTCAGTGAAAAGAAATCAGAGAAGAAAACGAGCCATTTTTCTCAAAAAGTTTTGCTAAGTAGAGCGAAGTGAGGACACTTTTTTATCTGTGATATTTTGGAACCTCTGACCATCCTCCTGATCATTTTCTTCTCCATACATGTGTGCTACGAAGTAGAAAATCTGAGAAAGAAAAACGTTAAGAGAAAGAAAGACGCAAATCAAAAGTCGCAAATGAAGGAATGCCACCGCTTCACCTTCACTCGAACTGGCTGAGCTTTCAAAGAAAAATGGCTCGTTTTTCTCTCTGATTTCTTCTCACTGAAGCGTATTTCTTATCCTCCAGACATGGACTGTCACGAGCGTGTTGTAAAACACGTGAAACTGCTTCCATTGAGACACTAACTTTTGAAGAAGTTTTGATTTCCGTACCCGTCTGGATAAAGTCGTATTTTCTCACGATACGGCGCTTATCTCGGTCGGATAGTAATCAGGGTTCTTCCCAGAATCATATCCTGTAGCATCCTTGAGAAACTTGTTCGTTATGAAGCCACCCCGACAAATTCTAGCGTGAGCTGACACTTCAACAACTCCTGCGTCTCTTTTGCTAGGGTTTTCCTTTTACGGAAGTTCGACAGCGGTTTTGCCTTTGCTATAAGCTAAGGGACTTGAGTGGGTAATAATTTCAAAATTTGATTGGGTAAAAGCAAAATGCAGCAGAGAAACATGTGGTGGAACTATGATTTTGCGTCATAGGCAAGTCGGGTATTTTCGAAAAAATGAGGATAAAAAATTTTTGCTTTCTCAAACTGGATTTCCGTGATAATATTCAGATTCGCATTTGCATGTGTCACAATTTGTCTGTAGAGCCCTTTTCAAAAACATCTCCAAATTCTAGTTTTTGGGAAATTTGTAGGTGGAACTAAGATTACCAGATTAGTCCCCCGTCAACCGCCGGGACCTTCCTTTCCTGCGCAAGCTTTCTATCCTCCGCTATGGTCCCTTCCTCCTGTGACACCAACACCTCTGGAAGTGACGCGTATGCAACACAATGGTGTTTCAAACAGTAGAAGGGACACAATCATGATATGACGGTAGATTCCTCGCTCCACTGCCCTCCAGCTGCCACTGCAGCACCATGTGGAATGAACGGAAGTGTGCTAAGCAGGTGTTTATATAGCCCTAAGAGTGTTATCACAACTATCCTGCTACAAAACATTGATATCTCAAATCCTGTAAGCTACCCGATTTGTTAGCGGTTTGTTTATCCCATGAGCTTCCTTCTCACTCACTTCATTTTGCGGACGGACACACATACATACACACACACACACACACTCACACACACACATACAGATACACAAACCGACACACAAAGTTAGCGCTTTATAATATAGAAGGATACCATACGAAGTTTCCCTAGAGGTCAAAAAGGCCGTATTTACTGTGTATTTCAGAATTTTCTTCTTTTTTTTTCTCCGCTGGCGGTCCACCTTACACACCTACTCCACATTCCAGTAGAATTTCCTCATCAGTTTGGTCCTGAATATTGCCTTTAAGAAGTTGTGTATTAACTTCGTCATGACTAGGGGTCGTATGTAGGGAATGGTGAGGGTCAAAAGAGGAAATAGGAGGTCATTTCTTACCGGTTTTTTTGTGCAAATTCGAGAAAGTAAGCATAATTTGAGTCAAAATAACAGGTTTTGCCGCTTCTCTACGCAATTTACTCCCCCTTCCCCTCATCCGATGGCCGTTTGGAATGGAAAAGTGGGCGGGGTTGCTTGCGACTGGACTATGAATTCACTACGGTTTTTACATATACAGGGGTGGCCAAAAAAAAGAGACACTTCACTCACATTCAAAACGGAATTATTTACGCGTCGCGAAACCAAACCAAATGACCCCAACTGAATATTGAAGAGCACGTTATAATCTATCAACAAGCTACACAACAGCCTTCTACACCGACGACATCAGAAGATTTTCCCACGGAAGCATTGTGCGCGGTACGAGCTCAACGAGGTCGTTGAGATACCATAGACGATTACGACGTCTCTGAAACGCAGGTCAAAAGCGGTTTTGCACATTCACAGCTAATGTCTCTCTGGGAAGCTATTCAACAATTAATTCCATTGAAGAAATTGTGTAGCAGCTTCAGGCCGGAGCGATTACGGTAAGCCTCGTTGAGCTCGACGGTGACGGCAGATGACGTCATATTCTGAAGACGGCAGGGGCAGTGAAGGAGGGCCTGCTTCTGTTTACGGGGGAACACCTAAGGAATATTAACGCCGTAAAACTTTCATTAACATCGGCTCCCTGTGCGACGAAAAGTTCGATGATGTGCGCCATGGGCAAAGTGTCTCTTTTTTTTGGCCACCCCTGTAGAACCAGTCCTGATGGTAAGACCGTTGTTCGGGGATGAGAAGTTGATGAGGGTCGTATCGAGACCCTCCTTAAGAAGGAGGGTCGTAAAATTTTGGCATTGGAACAATGGGTGTGAGATTGCAGGAGAATACGAACATCACATCTATTCAGTTCCAGCGCCTGTTGTGGTGGCGCTATGCATTCCGCGCTAATCGCATATGATATTCGCCTTCTCCGGGTCACACTATCTTTCGGTGCGAGTTCCTAGCCCAATTGACCCTTTCAGTCAGAGAAGAAGCCGACCTACTTTTCGAAAGAAGTGAAAAAAGGGCAATAAAGCGTGAATCATTTTGGGTTCCTCTCTCCATTATGTATGTTTCTTATTGGGAATAATTTGTTGGGACAAACAGGTTTGCTACAGGAAGAATTATTGGCGAATATGCGCAAAAATAATCTTTTATTTGTCATTTAGCCTTGTTCCTTTCAGCTCTTCAAAGAATTCTGAAAATTTCGATTTTCAGATGTCGCAACCAGTCCATGGTGGTGGTACTGTCTTCACTGATATCAAATCGACAATTATGCCAACAAAGGTGAATCTTCCTCTCATTGCTGTTCTAGCGCGTGTTGTTTGCAGAACAACGGTCAAAAAGTATTGATCTCATAAACCCCTCCCGTCACTGTCAGTGTAAATGAGTCGGTCTACGGACAGCTTGAACTCGGTCCTTTAAACCGCCTCGATTCGATGCTCTCGCCTGCGCTCTCTCGCTTAAACAGCGGCTTATGATTATTGTGATCTGACACATCCAAACTTTGCCACAATGTAATTGGCTCACCCACTCCGGAGTCCCTTCTCCCTCCAAGGCTTAGTCCTAGGGTTGTCACCTTGGTTTTGGAGCCGAGCCAGGCGCCGTTCTCTAATCGTCTGTGCTCTGGCCTTTCGCGGCAGAGAACATAGGGGAGAGTTCAAGTAGTCACGTAATCAAATGAGTCATATCGTGCCATTAGGGCCACAGCAATCATCTGTAGGTTTCGAGAAATGATGATACATTTGAAAGAACACCTTTGCCAAAACCAGTGCTAGAATTTGCGTAAACAGCCACCGGTTGCTTATCATTGTGCTGCACTGTAAGAAAAAAAAACTACTGGAGGTCGTGGTGCAATGACCAGTGCCGCTTTGCCGCACAGTCTATGTGAGTGTGATCGGTGGCGGTTGAAAGCGCTGATTGTCCTAGATAGAGGAGGTCACAAGGAGTTTCTAGAGGAGGCATTCTGAGAATCAAATGGAATCGTTCCTGTCCTAGCATTTGTGACAGATGTACGGCGGGATTTTGAACGCGTAACAGTCCTCGCTCAGCTGTTTACGACAACAAACACTATTTTTCTGTTCTCTGTCCTTATCGTGACTGATGGGCTCAAACCAGTGATTTTATGGTTGAGATAGAATCGTGTAT